TGCTTATTCCTTTCCATGGCAGGAAATAGCTATCCCAGTCCCAACCCACACGACTTTTTAGTTCAAAATCCAACAGCAGCTAATTAGAATCTTTGCATCACTTATTTCAATATCTTTAGAGAGAGAGACCACGATGTATGTTCAAGCCATTGTGCATATTAGCTATCACTGGCTTGACCTTCTATGTCTGCGAAGGCAAGTTCTTTTTGAAGGGTATGTATGTAGGAAGGCAGTGGTGAGCATTTCTAGAAGTCTTTTAAGTTTTATATATTCAAATCTCTTTATATATTCTTTCATAATGTATGCCTTTGATTTCATGCTTTAAAAAGTATCTCCTACCTTGAGATCATATATTGACCCTTTATTTGTTACTTTCCATGTATACTCTCTAAAATAATTTGAATTTTTTTTATTAGAAGGGTACTTTTCTCCAAGTAGCCTATTTGTCCCAACATAATCTTTTCAATAGTACATACTTTTCTCACCAATTTGAAACATGAATACCAATAACAATCACATTTACTAGATAATTTTTATGTGCCAGAGTTTGCGCTAAGTATATTACATGGATTATTTCAGCTTAGCAGTACTATTACCCACATATGACAGCTAAGAAATGGCATACTTGGGATTCACACTCAGGTCATCTAATTATAGAGCTCATACTTTTAACCACTATGCTACTCTTATAAATAATTTGGGTCTATTTTTAGCTCAAACAATAGGAAAGATTTTTGACATAACTGGAAGTCCAGATTTAGGGTTGACTTGGCTCATGCTCGCTTTGGCAGCACATATACTAAAATAGGGTTGACTTGACTTGAGTTCAGTGTCCCCATGATTCTCTTGGCTCTGCTGCCTTCCATATGTGATTTCATCCCCAGGCTGATAGTGAAATAGCTGCAATAATTCTAGCCCCCATATCCATTCACAAGAATGTCCAGTAGAAAAGAAAAAAAATGGCTACTTTAAGAAACTCCCCCAGAAGAATAAAGAATTTTCTCAGACCCTCCAACAAAATTCTCCTCCAAGATGGGCCAAATACTCATTCCTGTGTCAATTATGGACTAGGAGATTAGATTAAATCAATTATACAAGCCCACCCCTAGAGTTAGAGATGGAATCAAATTTCCTTTGGAACATGGGCAGCATAAAAGTAAGAAGGACTATCAGTAAGGATTAGGTTCAGCTCTCTAATGCAGAAAACCTAAAATAGCAGTAGGTTAAATAAGTTGAAAAGTAAATCAAGTCTGGAGGTAGGCAGTCCTGGAGGTAGAGCTAGGATAGAGACTCCATGGTCACCCAGTTTCCCTCCTGTCTCAATGCTCTGCCATTCTCACCATGTGGCTTCTACTTCATGGTCCTAGATCATTCTGAAGCCACAGCCATCACATCCACCTTCAGGCACCAAGAAGGAGGAAGGAGTGGAAGGGAGAGACTGATTTCTTCTTTTAAGGACATATCCCAGAAATCACATGATACATTTCTGTTTACAACCCATTGGACAGCACTTAGTCATTTGGCAACATTGGCTGAAAAAAGCTGAGAAATGTGGACTTTATCCCAGATAATTATTTGTCCAGACACAAATCAGAGATTCCACTAATAAAGAAGAGCAAAAGATATAATGAGAGCATGCTAGCAGTCTCTACAACAGGTGGAAACATGAATTCAACTGGGGTTCAGTTACAAAAGAATAAAGGGGAACTAAATTCTGATTAGGCAACCAACAATGTGTCCTGAAGCCCCAGTGGAGTGTTTGGTCCAGTCCTAGACTAGTCAACAACCCAGTGGTATCAGATACTCTGGTTGGACATCCTGTGCCACACACCCATTCCTGGAACTTGACTGTAGAGTCATTCATGCCAAAACTCATGATTGAGAATGGAGCTGGAGCGGCTCCCTAAAGAGATTTGTTTGTATCTTTTTGAGAGTTAATATACTAGTAATTAAAGTTCAGATTGAAGATATTAATCCTTTGTCCACTATGTTCCAAATTGTTTTCTTGTTTTTCATTTACCTTTTACTGTTATAGTGATGTTATTATAGTTATTGCTTTACTACAGAAGTTTTACATTTTATATTATCAAGTATTCTTTGCCTTTTCATATTTTTTTTACTTTTCTGTTAGAATGATCCTTTATAACATGGATATGATAAATATTCACCTATAGTATCTTCTTTCCTGATTGAATTATTTTTTATCAGTCAGAAGATGGATTCTGCTGCACATATAACAAAAAGTCCACTTACAATCACTTAACACTAAATAGGGCTTACTTTTTCTCGGGTAATAAGTTCAAAGTTTGTTTGGTGGACTTATTATATCTTAAAGAACCCAAGCTCATTCCACATTTCCATGCTATAATCCTTAATATGTAGGTTTTCCTCAAGTTCACAAATGATCACTGCAATTGTAGGCATCACATCTGAAGTACTTTAAGAACGAAAGAAAAAAGGCAAAATGTAAAGGCTGCATGCCACCTGAATCTACCTATTTCAGCAGGAAATCAGTATCTTTCCTGGAGACCCCATCTATAGGATTTCTCACTGGTTAGAACTGGGTTACTTGGCCTCACAAAAAAGCAAGGGAATCTTGAGGAAATAAATATTTTTATCTCAACACACTTCTGCTCTGAGAAAAAAAATCTAATTCTATTATCAAAAAGGGGGAAATGGATATTGTGTAGACAACATCTGCCATACTTTCCATCTAGAATTTTGGGGATATATGATATAGAACAAGGAACTAACAATTTTTGCCACTGACTTAACCAACTTTCCCAGCATCTTTATTGATTAAATCATTCTTTTTTCATTGATTTGGCAAGAAATTTCATTTAAGAATTTATAGTTTCTGTTGCGCGCTCTGCGGCAACACGATCAGGGTCCCGAGGGTAAGGGAATGAGGAAAATAAAAGAAAAGTAAAGAGATGGGGACAGGAGGGACACAGTGGATGATGTCCAAGCAGTGCCAGCTTTATTCAAGGTTCTACAACATTATATAGCATAAGCAAAACAAAGACAAAGAAGTATCTGTTCTTAGCATGTTTGTGAAACCCTCCAAGGTTCCCCTTTCTCAGCATGCAAGACAGACCCACTGGTGCCAGAAGACCTTGGTAAATAGATAAGCTTGTTGCTCCAGATGTACATACCTCAAAGGAATATTAGATATGGTTTAACAGACCAGCAAGAACAGCATAGACCCCTATTCAACTTTATGGCCAGGCCATAATACATTGTATCTAATGTGTTATGTGGGCGATCACTGCACAAGCCAGCTCTGAAAACCATTGCTCAAGCCTTTTCTCAGGCGTCAACCAACTATCCACCCTTTAGGCTCCTGAGCCTTTTGAGTGAATGAGGGACGCAAGTCCGGGCCTGGTTTGGTTCAGTTACTCCAGCTAGTCCGTGGTCGCCCACAAGTTTCCAGTTCCAATAAGGGCAGAGTGGTATCTAACAGATCAGCCTGTGCCAGATCAAACTTTGGACAAAATATGGAAAACAACCATTGAAAGCAATGGGAAGAAAAGGCAAAGGCTGACAAAAACTGGAGTCTTGTTGACACTTGAAAGGGGGAACTGACACTAGGTAAGTTTCCCAATTTTATAGCTTATGCCTAAAGGCAGGCCACAGTCAACACCATGCCATCTTACTACCTTGAAGAACCAGAAAGAAGAGTTTAGGGTTTCTGTAAGCAGCCAGAAAGTGGAGGGGGACACCCTGGAAAGGAACGAGCCACAGGGGAAGAATACCAAATTCTATATACAGACTCTTCCAAAATCTGTTTGTCCCCTAAATTACACCACTCATAGGCAGTGTAGATACCAAGAAGCCCAACTAAGATTAAATAATTCAACGGATATTTTAGCTGGAACCCTGCTGCAAGAGACACAGGGTTTCAGCCAAGTTAAATGCCCATATGAAAAAAAAATCAATATTCTTTGGAGGAATATGCCAGAATCCAGAGACTCTACAATGCATCATTCACAATATCAAGAATACACTGCAAAGTTCTCTACATACAAGAATAGGAAATATGACTGATACTCAGGAGGAAAAGCAATCAATGGAGAACATTCCTTAAAAGACGATATTTTAGAATTAGCAGACAAAAATCCTAAAGTAACTGTTATAACTCTTTGATCAGCAGAGTCTAAGGTCTCAAGCCATTTCTAATCCTTCCCTTTAGAAAGGGTATAACGAATAGGTCACCCTATTAAGCAGATGTCCACATGTCCTCCCAAAAACTGGCTGAGAATTAACCAGGGTGATAAAAGTAAGAAAAGCAGGGTTTTTTTTTCTTTTTGTTTTTTGTTTTAAGATTATTCACTCATTTATTTATTTGAGAGAGAGGGAGTGACAAAGAGAAAGCATGTGCAGGAGAGGGGGCAGAGGGAGAAGGAGAAGTAGACTCCCCACTAAGCAGGGAGCTCAATGTGGGGCTTGATCCCAGGACACCAAGATCATGGCCCAAGCTGAGGGCAGACGCTTAGCTGACTGAGCCACCCAGGCACCCCCTAGAAAGCAGTTTTAAGCAGAAAAAAAGGCAGGGATTTTCATTTCCCTTGTATAGAAAGAAAAATCAATAATAGGTTGCTATATTGGCAGAGAGCTCTTGCCCAAACCTTCGGATCTCAGCATTCTTGGGTTCAGAGGTAGCAGAGTTAGCAGTTGTGGGATTACATGGCTCTTTTATGGTCATTTATTTACCACCCTTACTAAAATCTAACCAATCTCTCTTCAGAGAAGATTTTCCTGCAGCCCACCCCACCTCCCACCTCAATCTCTTCAAGGAGAGTTTCTTTGATACCTTAATAATCTTTTTTTCTTTCAGAAATTCAACACAGCATGATAATCTCATAGGAGTAAAGAGAAACTATGTCTCAAAGGGTAAAAGGACTCCACAGGGGTTACAAATCCTACTACAGATAAAGCAAAGATCATCTCTGTAGAAGCTAAAATGGGTCATCTTCTTAACCCATTTCCTTATTATTTAGGGAAAATGTCTTCTCCACTTGTTGCACCCTATTCTGCAAGCAAGTTTGCTCTGGACGGATTTTTCTCCTCTGTCAGGATGGAACATTCAGTGACCAAGGTCAATGTGTCGATCACTCTCTGTATCCTCGGCCTCATAAACACAGGTAAGGTGAAGAAAGTGAAATAAACAGCCTGCAGATGACTGCCTTCCTTACCATTGTGGGCAAAGAAGGTGCTGAACTTTTTTTTTTTTTTTTTTTTTTTTTTTTTTTTTTGGTGCTGAACTCTTTGACTCATGTGTAAGACACTAAAAACCAGCAAAAGCACAAGTCTCCATTTAACGAAGCACTTCTGTCACTAGTGGAGCCTCTGACTATTCTTTGACCCTTCTTTCCATTCTGACCACCAAGTGTGCTGAGTGACACCAGACTCATTACTTGACCCTATTCTTTACACTACATCCTCAGGAACACTCGATGGCCACTACTTTCCTCTTTGAGGCTTATCAAGTACAAGTTTCTTATTCTTAATATCATCACCTGTAATAAGACATATTGATATCATGAGCCTTTTTTTTTCTGCATGAATAATCTCTAAACCCAATATGAGGCTCAAACTTACAACCCCAAGATCAAGAATTGCATGTTCTATTGACTGAGCTGGTCAGGCACCCCTCATAACCCCTTGACATGATGCACTGAGAAGGACACAGTATCATTTTTGTGATATTCTTGCCAAAAAGGCATAATCTCAATCTAGTCAGCAGAGGGAGATGGACAGAGGCACCTGGCTGGCTCAGCGGGTAGAGCATAAGGCCCTTGATCTCGGGGTAGTAAGTTTGAGTCCCATGTTGGGTGTAGAAATTACTTAAAAATAAAAAAAAAATTTTAAAAAGAGAGAGAAATGGACAAACCCAAACTGACATTCTACAAAACAGTTTACTAATACTCTTCAAAACTGTCAAGCCCATGAAGGACAAGGAAAGAATGAAGAACTGTCACAGACTGGAGAGAAAATAAGAAGAAATTACTACTAAGTATAATCCTGGCTAAGCCCCTCAAACACATAAAGGATGTTAGTGAACAAAATAAGGTCTGTGTTTTAGTTAGTAAATTTGTCGCAATTATATTGTACACTGACAATTGTACAGTGGTTATGTGTGACGTTATAATTAGGGGAAGCAGAGTGAAGGCTACAAGTGAATATTCTGCACAAGTTTTACAACTTTTCTGTAAGTCCAAATGCAAGTTTATCTAGAATAGGTACAATGAGAAAACTTTATTTAAAGAGTAATTGAGTCAATTGAGTGGTTGTTCTTGAACAAGAGAGAAAGAAAGACACATAATGAAACAAGGATAGAAAAAGAAAAAGAAGCTGTGCAAAAAGGACATGGAAATTTGGAAGAGATAACTAACTTTCCTTCCAAATGAAAGTGGTTTGTGTTGACAGAAAGCAAAGGCCTGGATTCTTGTCCATATCCTCCTTTTACAAGCTAGTAAATCATTATCATACAGCACTTGGCTTTACCCACTGATACTTTCCATTAGCTTCTATCCTCATTCTGCTCCCCCATATTACTCTCTCATCCCATCCAAAACGCACAAGAGAGAAGCATGATCTAAATCTCTCCATCACCTTTAACTGCCCCCCAAATCTTCATCCAGGAAGACAGGGCCCACATTAACTCTAAGCCTCTCTTTGCAGAGTGGGCCCTAAATGTACCGTCTTCTGAGACGGCACGTAGGCCTTGTAGAGTAAGCACAGGCAAACAGCCCCTAACAGCTAAGCTGTTGCTGTCTACAGACCCTCCATCTTGTAGACTCTACTGGTCTTGGATAACCACACTCTTCTCTCATGTTCTACAGACACAGCCATGAAGGCCGTTTCTGGGATACTCAGCACAGTAGGAGCATCTTCAAAGGAAGAATGTGCCCTGGAGATCATCAAAGGGGGAGCTCTGCGCCAAGAGGAAGTGTACTATGACAACTCAGTCTGGACAGCTTTCCTACTGGGAAATCCAGGGAGGAAGATCCTGGAATTCTTGTCATTAAGAAGTTATAAACTGGACAAATTTATAAACAACTAAGCACTTCCTTAGGATGCAGCATGGGAAGGGACTGTTCATCCTGATATTACCTGAGCTCCATCCATGAAGGCATCTCCCCGGAGAGACAAATAACTGAGTGTCCCAAGAGAGTTGGAAGTCACACATCACATCTCACAATTTGAAGGAGTTCCTCTAACACTTGCACAGTGGAAATGTAATTATAATGAATGTCATGAACCACTGCAACCTGTGGTCATGAAAATGATAGTAACCAGAGGTACGATTAAAAAGTAGTTCTATCAAATTTACCTCATATATAATATTATGATTAATACAATATTAATTATAATAAAGGTCATATCCACTTTATAAATTCATAATTAGTAGCTCTAAGTTCAGTTCATTCAGTATGGTTCCTTTAAAACCATGATCTATACAAGTGAAAATTTTCAGTGTTCATTTCGTATTTTGTGGTCGGAAACTTTTCTGTTCTTGAGTTAAAGAAATCACCCTCCTCTTCATTTAGTGGACATTATGTCCATACCATATTATATATTTCAGATACTCTTTATATTATTTTACATTGCTTCTCTGGGAAGGAGAACACCTGGGTGGGTATAAATCATTAGGGCAAACCCAAATCCCTGGTAACTGGAGCCAGAGAACCTACACATGTTTATTGAGCTCAGGCTGCATCAAGCATCTATACTTTACATGTGAGCTCTCAACGGTATATTAGAAGTCTGGAGAGAAGGGGATGGAGCTTAATACTGCCACTTACACATTTAGTCATTTATTCATTCAACAAACATTTATCAAGCACATGTCAGGCATCACCTGACTACAACCAAACAGGAAACAGAAATCAACTATATTAACAAATGAGCAAAGCCCTATATTGGTTAGCTCCTGAACAGGTCAGAGAGGGCAAATTAGATCATTTTAGTAGACTTTATTTAAAAAGGGGATTATTTATTCAAAGTGTGGACAAGTTTATTGGGCAATCACAAGGCATAAGGTAGTATCTCGAGGCTAGTCCCACCTCAGGGACAAAAAGAATGGTTATGAGAACCCAGAGATAGAAACTATTTGGAAAGCATCACAGAAAAGGAGCTATGACACTCAGTTATGGGATGCCACTAGCCCACCTAGGACCATGTAGGAGGTATCTTGGGGAATAAACACCCAGCCTCACTCTCCTCCCTCCCTTCAATTTCTTGCTAATATTTTCTATTATCTAAACAGAGGGACAAGGGAGCAGATTCATATAAACCACACAGGTCAGCTTCCTCATGGACAGCAGGGTAAGGAAGAATGGAGAGTGTTCTGGGGGCACAGATGGGATATATCCAGCATGAACTCAACATCCCAAAATGTAGGGCTTCCATGGGAAGAGATACTAGGACACAAGACATGGGCTTTGAAACGCAAGGGAAATTTCCTTTTCCCATCTCTTACTCTAAACGTCCAAACAGCAGAACAGACTGGAATCCATTAAGCCTGCCAGCCACATGGACAAGGAGCTAGATCTGAGAGTGAGTATAGCTGGGCTTTTCTTAGAAAGAGATTCTCTCCAGACTATGCTCAGTGCTAGGGAGCAAGAAAGACCTGACTGCACCTAGGTGCAAGTAAATAGATCCAAGGGGTGCATGGGTGGCTCAGTCAGTTAAGTGTCTGCCTTCAGCCCAGGTCATGATCCCGGGTCCTGGGATAGAGCCCCATGTTGGGCTCCCTGCTCAGTGGGGAGCCTGCTTCTCCCTCTCCCCTGCTCATGCTTTCTCTTGCTCTCTCTCTCTCTCTCTCAAATAAATAACATCTTGAAAGAAAGAAAGAAAGAAAGAAAGAAAGAAAGAAAGAAAGAAAGAAAAGAAAAGAAAAGAAAAAAGAAAAGAAAAGAAAGAAAAGAAAAGAAAAGAAAGAAAAAAAAGAAAAGAAAAGAAAAGAAAAGAAAAGAAAGAAAATAGACCCAAAAAGTGAAGTCAGATTTCAGACTATATGGCATAACACACATGCTTTGCTAGTGCTGGATCAGAGATCATGAAGTGTCTGGATGTAGGTGATAACTGCTGTGCCAGTCCCGTGTTCTGCACACAACACAGATGGGGCAAGAAGCCAGGCTTGCAACAGGATGAGGGCAGGAGGCTGATCAGGAGAAAAGGAGGTAACTGCTGAGACAGGAGCAGGACTAAATGACAAATTTACAGCCAGAGTCAGCTTCCAATTAGTTTTGCCTTCAACCTGAACTTTTAGGGTTCTCTTTAGACTTAAAGAGACATTAAGACTTCAGCCTGTGTTTAGTATAAATCAGCTGCTCCCTGATTCTGTTCACCTATGGGGAAAGCAAGAGAAGGTGTGTAACAATATTTAGGTAACGAATAAACTAAACCTTTGGTCTTTCCAAGGGTGTGTTGGTAAATGTTTAACAACTGGCTGACCAGAAAGAGAGAGAGAGAGAGAGAAGCCCTAATTTGTAATATTTGCCTGCTTCCTCGATGCAAATGCTCTCACTGTGGTCGATTTCAAGCCACCAGGTCACATCACTGAATGTGTAATAGAAGAGAAACGCACCATCAGCTCTTTCAAACCTGTACAGCCTGCTCCAGCACACCACCCTGACTTTCCAATTCCACATTCTTGACCGAATTAGTTATTCTTAAAGGCCCAGATCAAATGCTTCTCTCCTCCAAGGACTTGAAAGTAACAGGCAGCTTCTTTCTACCATTGCTGGGCAAGCTAGGGGAACAAGGGCTCCCAAAGACAGAGGATGCCCACATTCTGGATTCTCAGGGTGTCAGCATTTTGCATGACGTCCATGGCCTTACCTGTGTGCGAGTCCTGAAATCGACCTTCGTGTTTGCTAGCACTGCATTCCCCTGGGAATAGCAGAAAAACCCACTGACAGTGGCTCAATCAAGTAGAAATTACTTCTCCTCCCATAACAAAAAGTCTGGGAGGAGCAGACCAGGGTGTCAGGAAGCCAGGTTAACTTCTGTCTTTCCACTCAGCTAACCATCCTCCTCCTCATCACCGTGGAGTACAAGACAGCTGGTCTACCTCAGCATCATGCTGTGTTTCAGGAAAGGAAAAGAGGAACGTGAAGGGCAAAGCATGCACAGCAGCTGAATCTGCCCCCTGATATAGAACAAACTGGGAAGCCCCATCCAGGACTTCAACTCGCATCCTGTCCTGTGACCATCCATCCCTTCAGGAGAGGTTGAGAAAAGGAGCTTTCAGCTGAGCACATTGTCACACCCTCCACGAAATTGGGGCTCTGTTAGGCAAGCAGAAGTGTTTGTCACAAGTGTAAATCATGACAAATACAAAGAAATACACAGAGCGGAAGGACACCATTGTGTCCTGACCATGATGACAGGACCCAGTCCCACTGACCATCTGCAAGGCCTAATTTAGTCCCAGCTACCCCCATGCTGAAGAACGTCCTAGGCTCCCGCCTCTCCAAATTTCACTTTGAGAAACTAAGAGAGGGAATCTCTTCAGTAAATCCCTTTCTTCAGTAAAAAGTGTCATGGAAGACCCTGGACAAGAGGTAGCAGGGAGCCCTGAGGTGACCTCAGAGGCAATGACTCACATTGGCACAGGGGAGTCATCCCATCTGCTGTTCCTGGAGAGTTCTCTCTCAGGGACAGTTAATTCCCACCTCGCCACCACATCTGTTCATCCAGGCTGGGCCTTTCTCCATGGCTGGACCGCTCTAGGCCAGTGTTGCAAACCCACCCCCAGAGTCCATGGCAAGCTTCAAAAATTTCCCCAGAGTAGTAGCTTGCAAAGCTTTTGATCACATACTTCATTATTAAAAAATGATTAGGCGTAGAGATTTCTAACAGATACACAGTTAGTAATATTTACTAACATGAAGCGTATACAAAAATAAACATCATGAAAAGACAAGATTAAAAATAAATAGAAATTGTACTGTCTTCTCCCCACATCCAGTCACTCCTCTGACATGCCGGAGACCATGGCTCTAAAGCCACGTTAGAGAAAGAGGTCAGTGTATGTTATGCTTCTAGCCAGCCATAGGTTAGAGCATCAGCAAGCACCTGTGGTTCAGGGTCAGCCCCCATTCACCTTTCAGGGGGCCACATGTAGGATAGAATCCATCCTCCCCACCTCCACTCCACCCCCCCTCACTGCCCCCCCCACAATGCCAGCTGTCCGAAGAATTTGCCAAGGACCCACATTCTTCTTCATTAGTGCCCAGCCTAGAGCACTGGGGAACATATGCTAATCAAGTCCCGGAAGTATCCCTTAATTTCTCCAGGGAAGTATGCAAACCAAACTAATTTGCAGTATCAAGGGAGCAGAAAAACACATTGCCCGCCTTGATGCGGTGCTCATCCTGTCTCACGATGACTCCAGCAACTCCGCTTCCCTGTCAACATCTCAGCACTCTTAGATCCTGCACCGCAGGGTCACCAGTTCATGGACAATGCTCAGGAAAATCAAGATACCCCTTCCATGCTCCCCCCTAGGCAATTCTTAATCTAACTTCTCTAGCTGTTAGAAGTTCTCTAGTTAGACTTAGAACGTGTCTAAATTCTCCAGTTTTTAAGGAGGAGGTAGGGGGGAACCAGGGACAGGGACAGAGCCAATGAGAAAAGAAAGAATTTTCAAAAAGGTAAAGCAGGACTTAGGAGGCTAATGCCTACAGGCAAATTAAAAAAAAAAAAAAAGCCAGGAGAAGCAGATTTAGGTCCATACAGATCCAGAACACATAGGGTGAGGAGGACAGGAACCTAGAGCAAAAGGTAAAGCCACAGGATGGGGCAGCCCAGGTGGCTCAGCGGTTTAGCGCCGCCTTCTGCCCAGGGCTTGACCCTGGAGACCTAGGATCCAGTCCCATGTCAGGCTCCCTGCATGGAGCCTGCTTCTCCCTCTGCCTGTGTCTCTGCCTCTCTCTCTCTCTCTCTGTGTCATAAATAAATAAATAAATAAATAAATAAATAAATAAATAAATAAATAAAGCCACAGGATGATGGGGGAACACAGGGCTAGCTGAGGACCAGGCACCAGCCAGGGCAGCACATGCACAAGTCCCTGAAACAGCCAGAGGGACCTTCCTCTATGGACTTAACTGCCTCGAGGCAATCTTAGCCCAACCCCCAGGAGCCTGTAAGTCTACTTTAACATATAAAAATTCCTTTAGAAATTTCCTTTATCTCTAAACCCCCAAGATACCTGCTGGCAATCATCCCCCAGCACACGGCCCACGGATACACATCTGAAGAGTCTCATGACTCAGGGTTTATTAGACGGTAATAAGTGACCTTTTCCCAACAATAGCTAGGCCCCTCAAGGTCCTGGAAACCTTGCTTCCAAAATTCCCCAGACCCCTCCCAACTCCCAGGTATCCAATCAG